AGGAGAGGACAGGTCCCCAGCAGCCAAAGGAGCAACCACCCATATACTAAGCCACAAAAGAAGTATCAACACAAGTGTAACACAGACCACACTCTCTGACCACAATGCAATACAATTAGAAATCAATAATAAAAAGACAGCCAAAAAACACCCATAAGCTTGGAAACTCAAACCACACTTCTAAATAATTCATATACAAGAAGAAATCATAATGGAAATCTTGAAGTGCATAATGATCAATGAACATAAGTACTATATATCAAAACTTGTGGGATTCAACTAAAGTAGTAATTAGAAACTTGGAGCCTTAAATGCAGATACTGTATTTCACGGAATATGACACCATTAATTATAATGACATTATTATTTTATATACCACAAAGAACAAAAGCTGCCAATTAAACTACGATGCAATGCTTTATCACTTATAATTTTGTTTATACTTATTGAAGCATTCCTTTAGACTTACTTAGATACAGATTTTAATCACGTATCACTCATATGCATATATAAAGAAGGAAAATATAAGCAGAATAAATTGGTTAAGGTATTCTTAAACCTTATTCACATTCAAAAGTGACAACCAAATTACTTTTCAACTCAATCCTCACCTAATATTGACATCAGTGCAACAAGAACATGAGTGATGCAGCATTTCTTAAATGAGTGCTTCTCTCTTGCCTCTGGAATTTTCTTCTAAGCTATGGACATGCATTCTGCATGCTTCAGTGTTTACACAGAAGGACTATGACAACTACTTCACCCCTGCTACAGGGCCCACAGCACTGGTAAGACCCAACCCAACTTCAAAGAGGCATACTGTACAAAGTGTCCATCTCAGAATTGATGGATTACAGTGTTCAAAAATGAAGATTCTAAAACTAATGAGCTAAGCTTTCAATTTAAGAAATAAGGAGGCCAGGCTCATGCCTATAATCCCAACAATTTGGGAGGCTGAAGCAGAAGGACTGCTTGAGGCCAGGAGTTCGAGACCAGCCTGGGCAACATAGCAAGACCTTGTCTTTACAAAGAATTAAAAAATTAGCCAGACAGGCACACATCTGTAGTCCTAGCTACTCAGGAAGCTGAGGTGGGAGGATCTCTTGAGTACGGGAGTTCGAGGTTGCAATGAGCTATGATCACACCAATGCATTCCAGCCTGGGTAACAAAATGACAGGTCTCAAAAAAAAAAGTAAAGAAAAGAATTGAAAAGGAGGTCATCCATAATTACAAATAAAACAGAAATCACTTTACAGATAAGGAAATCGAGTCCCAAAATGTAAAATAACTCATTCAGGGTTACATAGCTATGAAGTATAATTTATGAAATGTAGTCTAATATTACAATAATCAAGATGGTACTGACACAAATCCTAACAAATAAATCAATAGAACAAAATAGTTGGGTGCAATGGCTCATGCCTATAATCCCAGCTACTCGGGAGGCTGAGGTGAGAGGATCACTTGAGATAAAGAGTTTGAGACCAGCCTGGGCAACATAGCAAGACTTTGTCTCTAAAAAAATAATAATAATAACTTTTAAATATGGAACACAATAGAAAACATACACAGAATAAAATATTATATGATAATAGTGAGATTTTATCTCAGTGAAGAAAGGATGAATTATTCAAAAAATATTACTGAAACAACTAATTAACCATTTAGAATAAAAATAAAATTAAATATCTTACCCCAAAATGGAATAATCAAGATGGATTATAGAGATACATGTAAAAATTAAAATAAAGTGAAAAAAATCAGTGAAAGTTTATGTAATTTTAGAGTCAAGAAATTATTACTAAGAAATATATCAAATACAGGCAAAATAAAGGAAAAGAGGCATAAATGTGAACATATACATATACATTTAAAACTTCCATAGCAAACTACAAACTGGGGGAAAATTTGTATCTTACATGATAGAAAAAAGAGTTAGTAGTCATGACAAATTATGAGCTTTTATAAGTTTATAAGATGAAAATAAATGCCCAAAGAGAAAATAATGGGCAAAAGACATGATCAGGTAACTCGACAACAACAACAAACTTGCCTTCTGTGAAAGTGGGTTAAAAACAACAACAACAAAAAAAAAAAAACACATACAAACAGGCAATTTGGGAAAAAAGTTCACCCATCCTAATAATTAAAGAGCTGAATAAAATGAGATATCATTATTTGCTAGCAGTTTGCAAATACCCAGGTTTAGCAGAGCTTGGAGGAATGGCATTCCTGTACATTG